CCTCATAATGGGCACAGCAGGTGTACAGACCCGGGAACTCAGCACAGGGATGGTAGGAGCCCCTCATAATGGGCACAGCAGGTGTACAGACCCGGGAACTCAGCACAGGGATGGTGGGAGCTCCTCATAATGGGCACAGCAGGTGTACAGACCTGGGAACTCAGCACACGGATGGTGGGAGCTCCTCATAATGGGCACAGCAGGTGTACAGCATCCATGAAACCTTAAAATGTCAAATTGAATTGGACTGATCCTGAACAGACCACAATGTATATTTAGTATTTACGTACGATATTAGGAGACCGTAGGCTTCGTCCCGGTAGTCTCGGTAAGCCTTCCAGGGCTTGATCTCCAGTCTTTTAGGGTAGTTGCTCTCCTCTCTGTACAAGGCTTCTAAGAGGCAGGGATCCCCGATGTGGACGGAGTCAAACGATCCCAGCTTCATGCGGAAAATTTTCCCAAACTGCTTGTGGTAGCCGGCCTGGGGAGAGAGAGAGAAAAAATGGACATGTAACGGTACACCGCTAGACTGGCATCCCCAACCACTACATCCTTCATGGCTACAGGACATCATCCTGCACCAAAACCCACAATGTATATCACGAAGCTGAACCGGCATGTTGTGAACACTGGCTGCCATAAGGGACCCTAATCTCTATTCACTTCTAGGCGTGTGAATTATGCATTATGATGTCACCCCATGTAGTGTAAACAAGGGGCAGGCAACCTCCAACGGTGGGGAACCTGCATATCCCACAATGTCTTGACCCCAGTAGTCATGCCTGTCAAATTCTTGCAATGCCTCATGGGACTTGTAGTTCTACAATAGCTGTGTGCCTGTCCCTGGTGTAAAGCAACAGATCATCCCTTGAGCACAATGTACAGGTACAAGTGATCCGAACGGTGTGGCGTGCTGCATTGCTGAATAGAAGAGCATGATTTTATTGTGTATTGATGCTTGTTAAGCGTGCATTCAAAGTGAATGCATAAAAAAAGAAACGCATGGCAACACATTGATAGTATAAAGAGAGCTTTATAAACTCCTCACGGTGGTGGTGATGATAGTGGTGGTGATGATGGTGGTGATGGGGATGGTAGTGATGGTATTGGTGGTAGTAGTGGTGGTGAGAATGGTATTGATGGTAATGGTGGTGATGGTGATAGTGATGGTGGAGATGGTAGTGATGGTAATGGTAGTGGGGATGGTATTGGTGGTGGTGAGGATGGTATTGGTGGTGGTAGTGGTGGAAGTGGTGGGGATGGTAGTGGTGGTGATGTTAGTGGTGGTAGTGGTGGTGGTGGGGATGGTAGTGATGGTGGTGGTGGTGGGGATGGTAGTGATGGTATTGGTGGTGGGGATGGTAGTGATGGTATTGGTGGTGGTAGTGGTGGTGAGGATGGTATTGGTGGTGGTAGTGGTGGTGAGGATGGTATTGGTGGTGGTAGTGGGGATGGTAGTGATGATATTGGTGGTGGTAGTGGTGGTGAGGATGGTATTGGTGGTGGGGATGGTAGTGATGGTATTGGTGGTGGTGATGGTAGTGGTGCTATTGGTGGCGGTAGTGGTGGTGAGGATGGTATTGGTGGTGGTAGTGGTGGTGGGGATGGTAGTGATGGTATTAGTGGTGGTAGTAGTGGTGAGGATGGTATTGGTGCTATTGGTGGCGGTAGTGGTGTGATGATAGTGATGGTATTGGTGGTGATCATGGGGGGTCTGCAATCTTCTCATTATGAAAATGTCAACCCAGTTTCTAGAGGTCCCAATGGTGACCAAATCACAGTAATTGAAGGGGAGTCTCTCCTATGGCAAAAAAGCTGATACAGGTTATAATCCTTCCCCAATATATACAAAACTAAAAAAAAAAAAGAACTCTTGGCCGGTTTGACACTTTAATTATTAAAATAATAAATAATATTCTCATAGAGAATTAGTCCATCCAGCAGTTGCCGGTTCCCCTTAAATCTAGATTGAGCTTGCTGTCAGTTTTCTCTGCATGCTAAAAAAATAACAAACAAGAAAAACATCGTCCTAATGTCTCTTCCCGAGACGCAACTCACTGCGCCCAGGGGCAACAAGAGGCAGATGTGTATGGCAGTGCCATCTTGTTGGGTAATCACTGCCCAATGACAGTGATCACCGGCCATCGTTGGATGTGACAACCTGGATGCAGTGATGAGAAAGGTGTTCTTGCGCCTATGAATGCAAGCCAGATGTGCACTGTGAGGTTAGCCGGGACATAATAGTGGACCTTACGGGGTTAAATAAGCTCTCAAGGCTCGTATTAAAATAAGGCAACGAGCCAACACGTGGGAATCAGCAAACAGCAACAGAGCTCAGCCTGCCCTACTCAGATCACTAAAAAAACGATTTGCATACCGCCGTCTTCGCGGTATTACAGAGACCTGCTGCTGTTAACCCTTCACGCTCTAAAAGCAATTTTCTACAATTTTACCTTTGGAAAATCCCTCACTGTACAAAAAGATTAGAGAATAACATAAAAAAAGAAAAAGTAAATTAAGCTATGAATAAAATAACAATGAAAATGCATAAAAGTAAACTGAGCTTAAAAAAAAAGCCAAAACAAAAGAATATAAAATAAAGAAAAGTTCCAATAAAAAAGTTAAAATGAAAAAAAATGAATGTAAAATAAAATAGATAATACCAAATAAAAAAAATATAAAACCAAGTAAAAAAATAGAAAAATAACTAAAAACACACACAAAAAAAAAAAAATGTCATTTATTTTAAGGATTTACCAGTGCCTGGTGCTGCCTCTTCAGCCCTCCTTTGCGCAGTATGTCCACAAGGCTGCCCAGCACGGGCCAGTTGGTGGGTCCGGGCAGGGTGGACGCGGAGTACGGGCACTGTGGGGGCGGCACCGGAAGCCCCTGGGTTTTCAGGTCGCAGGTTGTGGCGCCGGGGATGCTGTGGTGCAGGCTGATGTACCTGGACTTGAGCATCATCCACAGCTTCTCTGCTTTGATTTTGGTGGCCATGGTGTGAACAGGAGCAGGCTTGCAGCAGCTGTAATCATCTGCATTTTTAGCTATGGTATATATAGACAGTTGAGGTGTCAGAAAGGTCTGCTGCACAACAATCCCCGGCCAATCAGAGAAGCCCTATTAGGTGATGGAGTACCTCCGTCAGGAGGGTGCTCTGGTACTTTGAGTTCATTGAAGGGCTGTTTTCTTGGCATGGGAGCGTCAGGCAGGAGCCAGATCCCAAGATAAAGGCGTTCCACAGAGAACTCCACTGATTAGTCACCTCTTGGAGGACGGACTTGCTTTGCCTGCAGAGTTGACTTTTTTTTTCTTCTTCCCTCATTTACTTTGTTTGCTCTCAGGTGTCACACAGGGCTGATAGGGGTCACAGAAACCTTAGGGCTGCACTCCCTCACCTCCCCATATCTATCGATCTTCCTTAAAGGGACACAACGTATCAATTGCAAGTCAACTTTTTAGAACTTTCATTAAAAGCGTTGTATCTGAAGGCTGCAGGCTTTCTTAGGGCTCATGCACATGGCCACAAAAATGCAGCGCATATATTTTTTTTTGCGCATCTGACCGGAGGGGTGTGGTTTGCACCATGCACACATCCGCGTAAAAATAATCCATAGAATCAATAATAAAAAGAAAATCTGCATCCGCGGTCATCTCATGATGTAAACAATGTAACGTTTGTGCTAATGCGTACATGCATGCAGCGCACTTATTAACCCTCCATTGGCTCTCTCACGTTTTTAGGCTGTGACCCTTGCACCTTCACGCCCCCTACAACCTGCACAGTCAGATATCTGAAAATAGGTTTTTCCCTCCGGCAGGTTCGTTAACCCCTTCAGGTGTGAGGAAGGCAACGATTTGGATGACTACAGGCATCAGAGAGTCCTATAGAGATTCACTACTTGCGCTGCTTTTTTCAACCGCAAGGCACGGTAATGCGGTACGTGTGCGTTGTGGCGCATCAGGTTGTGGCAGGGAGGTGTTTTAGGGGGTCCATTAAAAATGAATGGTAACGCAGCGCACCTGACGCACTGTAACGCAGGTAGGTGCATTGCATGGAACCGTGCGATTAACACATGGTCTTGGTGCGAACGGACCCTTACTCCTAACACAGCGATACTCAACCATTGCAATCCAGCTGTGGTGAAACTGCGAGGTTGCCCTACTAGATACCAGACATGTAACCCCCTAAAAAATGTGTTTTGTTTAATTTCTGATCCGAAATTCCATTTGGTTTGTTATTCGGGGTTTCGGATTCGTCTGAATTTTTGTTTCAGGTCTAGTTGGGTGGGGTTCTTTAATTATAAATTAACTCAATTATTTGTTAGGATTTTTTGGGGGTCATTTTAGTTCTGATGCCGTGTGCTCTCCCGCACATGACCGTGCCTGTTATTCAACCCCCAACAGGCAAACCCCCCCGCCCCATCTAATTGGCCAGAGAACAGTAACATGTCCGATTTAGTTTTGTTTTGAAGGAAATTGGGACGATCCGGATTTTCGCTAAATGTACATTCTCATTTGAACGCATTCAGATTAGGAAATTTATATTCATACGGATATCCGAATTTAACGAAAATTCGTATTAATATCCATTTGGAAACAAACTAAATGTACATGTCTACTAGATACCAGCAGTGGCATCACAAGGGGGTGCGGCCCGCATCCGAGTGACACCATTGGAGGTGTAACACCAAAATGACTGACAGTCATTTTGGTGTCACCCCCCTCTAAAAAGGCGGGCACTCGGTCATGGACCGAGAGCCTGACAGTGTCGGGAGAGAGGAGGGGACCCGGTGGCATACCTCATCCCGCCGGGTGAAGTCCCCTTCTCTTTCTGCCGGCATCCACCACCAAGATGTCTGCCGGCAGGCGTCAATTAGATGACCGCACATGCGCGATGGTGTCATCCGGTCTCGGCTCCGCGTGACACCTGGCCTCCTACAGTGTAGCTAAAGCAGCGCAGCTCATTCAAGAGCTCGCATCGGCATGGATCAAAGGAGGCCGATATAAGAATATTTGTAATCAATATATAACTGGATTAAAGGGGATCTATGGTCAAAAACTACAAATAAATCTGTATTTTTATATTGGATTTCCATAACTTCTATCTCACTCCTAATAACTAGATCCATCTAGACCAGTGGTTCTCAACCTGAGTAACCTCAGGACCCACATTTGTCCTCAGTCATCAAGTCATGACCCAAGTCGCACTGCAATTAAACGCACGGCATCTGGGTACTGCACATTCCGGTGCGGGTGTACAAACTGTGAGTGGGAGGTGCGTTTGGGGTACCATTTACATGAATGGCAACGCGACACACCTTCCACACCAGAATGCACGGTGGGTGCGATTTGCATGGGACAGTCCTTTAATCGCACTATACTAGTGTGAATGAACCCTCAAAAACACAGACACACACAACCACAGACACAATCTCACACACTCCAAGACATTCTCTTTTTTTTTAGGTTCACCCAGTCTCCCTACCTTACGAGAATGGAGTGGATCCGCTGCCTGGGGTCCAGTGTGGGCTGATGTGCTGTGACGGAGCTCCATCCATCTTGTACGGCTCCCTTGTGCGCCCTGTAGAGGTGCCGGGAACCAGTTGAGAAAGACGGATCGAGAGGTTTGTACACTGAAGATGCTGATAGGATGTCCTTCCTCAATGCACTGACACCATTTCACTCAGCCCTGTGAATATGAACATCTTGCGTCACCTTCTGAACTACAACTCAACTTCTAAACAATGTAACATTATCATTGCTTGCTGGAAGCAATGCATGATGGGATATGTAGTCTAGAGAAATGCAGATTGCATCACATCAAGAAAGAGACGCAAAGCACGCTGGGGATCCAGGAAGTTGTTGGAAGTGATGGGCAGACGGAAGGAGGCGCTTACTACATAAAATGGATTTTATCAAGTAAGCTTTGATTGTATTATCAGAGACATCTCTAACATGTATTCCTATTACAGTGCTGATGTTATAACTGGAGAGGAGATGCTGGGACCTTACAGGCCCTTTAAATCAGACAATGGCCTTTACCTCTGTACTGAGCCACCCTTATTAATAAATGGCAGCTGCAAAATAATGCTTATTAGTGTTACATATTGGGGATGTAATGTACACACCTTCTCAAGGAAACATGTGGGTCCCGAGGTTACACAGGTTGAGAACCACTGCTGTAGATAATAATATTGATTCTTTCTCTACATTTATTGTTACACTGTCACAATTTGTTTTCTATTTTTTTTACATTGACACAATAGTAGCTGGTATTGTTTTTTTTATTAATGGCTTATCAGGAGCGAGCTGCAATACCACTACGCTTGTAGTCACTGAGCTCCTGAGAGCGACCCATTCTTTCACAAATGTTTGTAGAAGCGTCTGCATGCCGAGGTGCGTGATATTATACACCTTCGGCCATGGAGGTGATTGGAACACCTGAATACAATGATTTGGAGGGGGGGCCCAATACTTTTGCCAATATAGTGCATATCTATCTATCTATCTATCTATCTATCTATCTATCTATCTATCTATCTCATATCTATCTATCTATCTATTAATAATAACATTATATTATTATTATTATCATATAAGTAATCGTTTTGGGGTTCTATTGGGACTCACAAAATAACTTTACATTGTACTATAAAGCAGTGTACGATATTGTCTAGCGCAGGGGCACTCGGACATGCTGATGACCAGAGCTCACACCTGCGTGCACTTTTCTGCCACGGAGTCAAATCTGAATTAAACAAAAACCTGATTTTCCACTGCTGATGGCCCAGAGATGGCGGGGTCAGTGTAAAAGGTGAAAGCTGTTTACACATTGCTCCATCCTGTTCTGCAGCACTGTAACCTCGGGGTCACTGCCGATGACTGATTGCTTGTAGGGTCTTCGCTTTTGTTGTTCTGTACACTTATTAACCCTTGATCTGTATTCCTCCACTATAGGCTGCCACCCTTGCACCTTCGCACCCCCTAGGACCTGCCCACCAGACAGATATCCAATAATGGTTGTTTTCTCTCTGGCATGGTCATTAGCTCCTCGATGGGTGAGGGGTTATTAGAAGGCAAAGCATAGTGTCAGTGATCTGAATGATTACAGACATCAGAGAGTCCCATAGAGAACCCGAATAAGGTTAGTTCTGCTTTAAATTTCATTTTTCTATTCAGCCTCTTGTTCACACCACCTCTGGTGCTATCAGAGAGAGGGTCCAAACCCTATTGTATTGAAACAAGCTGCCAGTCCAACACTGAAAACATGCTGGCAGGAGGGGAGTATGCAGAGATGACCTTACTGGTGTTGCGCTGCTTCTTCATTGACCAGTCACAGGCTGGGGGAGCCATATTTTAGATGAGTGAGTATCATATTTTTATGGGCAAGTGGAATGTTATAATGGCCATATAAAGGACACTATAAGAGTATGGCAGGGTATATGTATAGAACAACTGCTTTAAATCTGAGTTCCACTTTAATCACTCAGGGGTGGTATCTAGGGAGGTGACATAAGACTTAATTGCCTGCTGTAATATGCTGGTATCCCGCAGTGCTCCAGTTGCAGGTCATGTGACCAGTGCAGCCATCAGAAATGTTGGGGCCCCTTACACGGCTTTAGGCCGGGCCCCCCCCACGCACCGCTAGTGACGCGCTGGACGCAGGGCTTAGTGACGCGCTGGACACAGGACCCACCTGAGAGTGAACCTGCAGAGCCCACCATAGATGCTGCACAGCCCATCTGAGACTGTCTATGGTGGGCTCTGAAGGGGTCTCAGGTGGGCTGGTCAGGGCTGCATCCCTCCCTCCTTTCCTTCCTAGCTCCTCTTACCTGCACACGTGGCCTTGTCTGCCGCCGGACCAGCCAGAAGTGACGTCACTTCCGGCCAGTCCGACATCAGACGAGCAGTGTCGCTGATGGGGCCCTAGCTTGTCTCAAAGCCGCTGGAGCAGCAATGCTGGGGCCCTGCGCTGCTAGGGCCAGGCCTCCGCCTCCTCGCCCTTCAACGTCGGCCGATAGTCATGTAAGGGACCCTGGCGGGCCCTCCAGGTTGCCCGGGCCCCTTACATAAGTATTGACCGTACCCCCCTGA